AAACAACTCTATATAAATAGGAAGTTTTATTTTAAAGGGATAAAAAATAATAAAAAGGCAGTTATAAAGGTAGAATGCCAGCAGGGGGTTGGGCGCTATCCAGTGTATTGCACTGAGTGTAACATGTATGACTGTGTGCCAGTTGGGCAGAAGTCATTGGCGTGTGCTCGGTGCAAGGAGCTCCTGGTTCTCAGGGAGTGAGTTCACACCCTCAAGTCTAAGGGGGCTGACCCGGAGAAGCAGAGACAGGCTCACAGATAAAACTCTTGGACTTGTTAGATGTATCCCACTCCGAGAATGACAGCCCCACCATTGTCAGGAAGCACGAGAGTCAAGGGGAAATAGGGCACTGTGCTGATGAAAAGGGAAAGATTCCCTCAGAAGGGACCGCTTCAGTTGGTGAACAGGTATCCTTTTGCACCAAGGAACCATCCCTGGAGGGGGAGGGGTCTCTTGGTAGTTGGTGATTCGCTCCTTAAGCATGTAGATAGATGAGTCGTGAACCACCATACTGACCGCATGGTGACTTGTCTGCTTGGTGCAAAGGTAGCAAACATCATATGTGGTCTAGATGGACTAGTAGACAGTGCTGAGGAGGAGCCAGTGGTTGTGGGACACATTGGCACCAACAGTGTGGGGAAATGTAGTTGTGTGGTCCTGGAGGAAAAATTCAGGCTGCTAGGCAGGAGTCCTAAGACCACAATCTCCAAGGAAGCCTTCTCAGAAGTGCTGCCTGTTCCATGCGCAGGGCCAGCTAGGCAGGCACAAAGTATGAGTCTCAATGAGACAATGGTGTAGGGAGGAAGGGTTTAAGTTTATAAGGCACTGGGATACTTTTTGGAACAAGCAGGACCTGTTCAAAAGAGACAGTCTGCACTTGTCCCAAGAAGGAACCAGGCTGCTGATCTTGAGGGAACGCCGACAGGAGGTGAAATGCCTCTGGTTTGGGGTGGCTCATCGCTAAGAGATGAAGGGGTAACTAGATCAAGATGGGTAGTTGAGTGTCTGTAGCAGTAGAAAAGAGCAAGAGTCTAGTAGCACCATAGGTAAAGGTAAAGGTTCCCTTGCTCGAAAGCCAGTCGAATCCGACTCTAGGGTTGCGGTGCTCATCTCCGTTTCAAAGCCGAAGAGCCAGCGCTGTCCGAAGACGTTTCCATGCTCATGTGGCCGGTATGACTAAACACCAAGGCGCATGGAACGCTGTTACCTTCCCACCGAAGTGGTACCTATTTATCTACTTGTAATTTCTTGCTTTTGAACTTCTAGGTTGGCAGGAGCTGGAACTAGAGACGGGAGCTCACTCCGTCTTGCGGCACCCGGGTCTCGAACTGCTGAACTACTAACCTTCTGCAGCCTGCAGTTCAGCGTCTTAACCACTTGAGCCACCACAGCTCCTAGTAGCACCATAAAGACTAACAAAATATGTGGCAGGGTAGGAGCTTTCGTGAGTCACTGCTCAGTTCTTCAGATACTGTTTTAGAGGGAAATGGATTCAGACTGGCCCCTGAGAGGGTGACAAACAATATTGAGTGCCTGAAGGTCTGGAGGCCACAGGAGGAAGGTTGCAGGCCTAACATGTCTGGGAAATTATAGATGTATATATGGTAGAAGTGTCCGGGGTAAAATAGGGATGCTGGAATGCTTAGTGTCAAAGTTTCCAAAATGCCCACAATCAATGGGATCCAGTGATTCTTTGATATAAAGTGTATCAGAAGGATAGGGAGGGAAGGGTTCGGACGTGGAGTGTCTCTGTATGTCAGAGAGGGTATACAGTCCAGTAAGACTGAGAATGTAAGAGAAATAGATTCACTTACAGAAACGCTATGGGTAGAAATAGTGTGCTCAAAAGGAGGCTTAACTCTGGGTGTTTATTGCCCACCACATCAGCAGCAAGGGTGATTTTAAAACAGCGAAAGAGTTAAGGAAAGCAGCTAGACAAAATAATTGTGTCGTAATAGGAAATTTCAACTACCTACATATTGATTGGGTCCATATGTGTTCTACTCGGGAGAAAGAGTCTGGGTTTCTAGATGTTCTCAATGGCTGTGCCATGGAGGAGATGGTCCGGGGGGAGGTGGATCCTGGACTTAGTCCTAATGCCCAAGACCTGATGAGAGATGTAAATGCGATAGCCTTGGTTGGGAATAGTGGCCATAAGTTTAACATTTATGTGAATAGGGAACTGCCCCAAAAGATCGCTACAACCACGTTTAACTTTAGAATAGGTCACTTCTGTCAAATGGCGGGTGCTTGTGAAGAAAAAACTGGAAGGAAAGATAAGGAAGGTCAAATCCCTTCAGGAAGTCTGTAGACTTTAAAACTACAATCCTAGAAGCTCAGATAAAATGTATACCACAGGTCAGGAAAGGTACAAATAGGTATTAAAGGCCTGCATGGTTAATGAAAAAAGTAACAGAAGTAGTAAAAGGTAAGAAGGGTTCCTTTAAGTGGTGAAAAGCTAGTGTGAGTGAGGTAAATAAAAAAGGAGCACAGGCTGTGGCGAAAAAATGTAAGTTGGTGATCAGACAGGCAAAAAGGGACTTAGGAGGGGAACATATTGCAAAAAACCAAAGGCCAATAATAAAAAATTCTTCAAATACATTAGTAGCAGGAAACCAGCCAGAGAGGCAGTGGGACCCTTGGATGACCAAGGGGTGAAAGGATTACTAAAGGATGATAGGGAAAAGGCAGAGAAGCTGAATGCTTTTTTCTCCTCTGTCTTCACTGTCAAAGATGGGAGGTGCTTGCTCACTCCAGAACCGCTGATTTCAGGAGGGGTATTGAAAGATCTGAGTCAGATTGAGGTGATGAGAGAGGAGGACCTATGACTGACGGACAAATTAAAAACTGACAAATCACCATGCCCGGATGTCATACGTCCAAGGACTCAAATGTGAACTTGTGGATCTGCCAAAAATACGCAGTCTGCCACTAAAATCTGCCTCCATTTCCAAGGACTGGAAGGTAGCTAATGTAACCCCCATCTTTAAAAAAGGTTCTGGAGGATATCTGG